CTGGTTTCCTGATTAGCCGGGAAGCCAGGTGACATGTAAAGCGTCGCCACCCGGCTTCCCGATTAGCAGAGAAGCCGCCCCAATGCTTCTTGTCACTGGGTGACAAGAAAGCATGGAGCTGGCTTTCTGGCCAATCAGGAAGCCGGACGATGTGTAATGAAGTGGCGCCCAGCTTCCTGATTGGCCGAGCAGCCGACTTCATGCTCCCTCGTCATGAGGTGATGAGGGAGCATGAAGCCAGCTTCCCGGCCAATCAAAAAGCCGGGCGCCACGTTATCACACGGCGCCCAGCTTCCTGATTGGCCAGCTTTTCGACCAATCAGGAAGCCGGGCAGTGAGTCATTACACGCTGCCTGGCTTCCTGATACCGGAAGTATCGGGCTAGGCATTGGAGCATCTGGGCAAGTAGGAGTACTCACCCAAATACTCTGCATAAACGTGCAAATAACCGCAGGCTGAACACACGGAAAAAAAGCGCAATAACGATGCCGCCTAGGTGTGAACTGGGCCTGATAGTAAAAGTGAAACTCTACTTTTGAACATAGAATTATATAACATACACATTTGCTACACAAATGTTAATGTTAGTAAAAATCACCTTTCAATCTGCAGCTATCATGATGTGTTAAAGCTAAAAAAAAAAAGACTTTTTCAGTGAACAATTTGATAAAAGGACTTTTTGTTCTTACAAAATGTGATTAATCGATTATCTGATGGGTAATGCGGATAAATCAACAATCATTTTCAACCATAAGGAGGAGGAAAATAAAATGCTCAGAATAGAAAGTTTTTCTTGTTTCTTATCTCAATTAATTAAACAGTTAATGTGATTTCTGATCGGGAGAAATTGTACATATTTGCTCGGCACAAAAGAAACCTGTTTAACCACTTGCTGCCCGGAGCAATTTCTTACATTTGTTCACACATGATAAAATCAGAATGTTGGGCTAAAAAACAGCTTCAGACCCCCAAACAATGATATATTTTTCTGAAAGCAGAGGCCCTGTAGAATAATAAATGGCAATTTTCTATGTCGCACGGTATTTGCTCAAATTTTTATCAAACAAGTATTTTTAGGATAAAATACACTAAAATGAAATTTACTGCACAGAAACAGAATATAATGCCCAATTTTTTGGTAAAATATAAAAGACGGGGTCACGCCGGGTAAATAGATGCCAAACATGTCAAGCTTTAAAATTGCGTACGTTTGTGAAACCGCAAAAAAACTACAATAACCCAAATTTCCCATAGGCGACGCTTTAAACGCTTATACGTCTCATCAGTTTAGTGTTAACAGTGATTGATGGGCCTAGAATTATTGCTTTCACTCCGACGCTTGTGATGATATGTAATATGTGTGGCGCAAGTTTTGCTTTTGCATATAGGCGCATCCTACGCGTGTTTGCGTTGTATGTGCGTGATTTCTTGGTATAACCACCTCCAGCGGAGGACGTACATTTACGCGAAGTGGTTAGACGGTTAATCGTGATTTCTGATCGGGAGAATTTGTAGATATTTGCTAGGCACAAAAGAAACCTGTTGAATGCCTCTGGGATTCCAATCTAAATATCAAATCTGTGCAAATTTTAAGGGCTTTGGACAAAAATCTGTTGACCCAGTGATAGCGAGATCGAATGTTCTGAAGCATGAGTTTTATGATTTTGAAATGAAAGCTTGAATGAAATTCCACTTGTGTATGGCCAGTTGTACATTAAATTGCTTTACAGAGGAACTTCACCCTCAGGGCCGGCCTTAGGGGTGTGCGAGCCGTGCGGCCGCATAGGGCGCCATGGCAACAAGGGCGCCGTGCGGCCGTCACAGCTCGTCCTGTGGGCGGCTTCTCTCCCCCTCACCGCTGGCCATACCTTATCTTAAAAATGACAACACAGACAACTTTTCCCTTCAGAAGGATCGAGCCATCTTTGTTCAGGCAGCTGTTTCCAGCTCTCTGTAGGCTACAATCCTCCTCCTTAAGGAGAAGTGGGAGACCTGTTCTGTAGCCTGTCCTAGGGTGACACCACTCCTTATACATGTATACAGTATAGTAAGTGAATGTTGTCACCCTAGGACAGGAAATGTGTTACTGGCAGGACCACCAAATAAGAAATAATGTGAAAAAAAAGAAAACCAACAAATTAAACATAAAGTAGAACTATGAGGTGAGTGAAAATCACAATGAAACTGTCACACGTCGGCTCGATAGATCGGGAGGTGAGAGAACACATACCGTCGCTCGCTCACTTCTCGATCATGTCCCTGCAGAGAGCCGTGACTGTAAGTCACCGCTCCCCGCAGGGATTCCCCCCTTCCCGCTCTGATCCTCCAGCGCTGACTGGAGGAACCAACTGGGGAGTAAGCGGGCACAGCTGGCTCTGCCTCTAGATAGGCAGAGCCAGCTGTCACTTACGCAGCTGGGTGGATCTCGACAGTATTGTCGGGACCTGTCCCGGCAGCGGTGCTCTCAGTGTTCTGCGGGCAATAGCTCGCGATATACTGAGCTTTGGGTCACAGGAGGAGGTTAGTATATGTCCTCCCGTGACCCTTAAGAGAACTATGGGGGAAAAACACTTACCGCATAGTTCTCTTTTAAGGACCGATAAGCTATAATATATCAAAAATGTGTTCTTGGGTTTTGATACACTTTAACATTATTTATTTCTAACAGATGATATATTCCCTTTAAGAGGCACAAGATAAAGAATTCACAGGAACCTATTTACATGCATTTCACATGCTGCTGCAGGAACACAGAAACATTTTGTTCCTCAGATGATTCTGTTCTCATTCATATTTGATTTGCATTGATTGTTCCTCTGTTGCAAGGTGTGAAAGACGGTATGCTTAGATCTGTTTATTACAGTTATAAAACATTTATAATGCACAAAAAGATTCCACAGTGCTGGCATTATGCCACTGGTATGTGAATGATATGAACGCTCTACCTTATTATAGATCGCACTGCTGCAACTTTTCTATCTGCAGCTAACAATTTATTTTTGTGCGATAAAGATGAGAATTGCATGCTGGCTGCCATATCAAAGATTCTAATGTGTTATATCTCCAACATTCTCAGTTCTGGAAATGTGCCAAACCCAATACAAATTCAAGGGGTGGAGCTACTTTCTGCCTGTAACAAATACTCGGAATTGTTGTAGTATCCCTTCAGGGGCGTAACTAGAAATCACAGGGCCCCATTGCAAAATTTTGTATGGGGCCCTTTGATTTCTAGTTACGCTCCCACCTGATAACCCAAACAGCCCACCTGAGAGTGACCCTGCGGAGCCCACCATAGACTCTCTATGGTGGGCTCTGCAGGATCTAAGGTGGGCTGGTCAAACCCTCTTACCTGTCAGCACCGATCCACTGTCCGCCTCCTCCTCCTCCACGGTTGCTGGCGGGCCCCGTCTCCTCCTTCGCTGCCGACGCTGGGCCCAGCCTCCTCCTCCGCAGCTGCTGGCTGTCACTGACTCAGCATCGGATATGAGGGGGAACATGCCACTGCACACATCACTGACAAGTTGTCAGTGATGTGAACAGCTGCGCATCCTCCTCACAGCCGCCAGTGACAGCCAGCAGCCTGAGATGCCATAGCGACCCAAGCGGCCCGCACGGCATCAGGGGTATGTCCTGGCCAGGCCCCCCTGTGCCCCGGGCACCATAGCGGCTGCCTGGGTCGCTATAGCGATTGTTTTGCCACTGGTATCCCTGTAAGTTCTAGTTCACAGTAGAAGCGCTGAGGCTCGTCTTTTCCAGCGCAGCCCCAACACACAGACAAGGTAGTTTGCCTTATTTAAAATTGCACTGCAGTGGCATACACTGAAAAAAGTAAAGTATGCAGTACTTTTTTCAGTGCAGCGTGCTGCAAAGCGTTACAAAAACATCTATTGGCCGTGCTGTGCCTACAGAACTTAATGAAATGTTATGAGTGACATTTCAATAAAGTTGTAAAAAGTAAAATGTAAACAGCAAGATGCACTGGCATCGAAGCATTAGCATTGTGGCTGTCATTTTAAGGCCAGGTCCACACAATGGCAATCCGTGACCGCACGGCAATCGTGCACGAAAACCATGCAGATCGCCGAAATCGCACACCACCGCTGATCATGCCATTCTTTTCTAATGGCACCCCAGTCACGCCAGGCAGATCGCACGGTTTCCCGCCGCGATTCCACCCATGAAATCACGCACGTCGTGAAAAAGGAGATTTCCTGCCTTCATTTCCTGACTGGTAGACTGTACATAAAAGTTAGACTATATCTTTTCAATGTGAGTGATATTCAGACTAAACCTGAGCTCCACTGAACCTGTTAGAAAGCTTCTCTGCTGCTGTCCAATCAGAATTCCGCATCCGCATCTATGCATAAGCAAAGGAGCGGGATGCTGTGATGTCATTGACCATATATGGCCACATGGCTATATTTGGTCAATGACATTGTGGCCATATAAGGTCAATGATATCAGCAGAAGCATACCGCCCCTTTGTTTATGTGCAGCTGTGGGGCCCCATGTCCTTGGTTCAGACCAGGTTCCGTCCAAACCTTTGCTCATCCCTACTCAGGAGTTATTCCACTATATCGAATGCCAGTGACGATTCTATGGCTCTCGATGTGTGTTGTGTGCTGTGACATCTAGCAGAGCCTCCCTATCTTTGAGAGAGGTCAGCTTTATCAACCAGGTAGATATCGTTCTTACATTAGCTAATTGTCCTTTCCATGCTCCTGATGGAAACACAGACAAATTGAAGACCTAAAATTTGTTGACTTATTAAGGTATCTTTGGATAGCATACCCCACATCTAAAGCATGAAACTGATCCGTACAGGTGCTTGGTAAGATTGGCAAAACCCAACAATAAGCCAAAGATTGCACCCTGAAAAGAAATGCTAGCCTGCCACAGCATCTAGAAGGTCATCCTTAACCACCTTGAGAGGAGGAATGCATAGATGGAGGAATCACATAGATGACAACATGTTCCAGTGACAGGTGATCTGTTCTTACCTTGAACTGTTGTCTCTTATCTGACTCCGGAATTAGACACTGAAACTTACATAACTGGATCATCATATCATGGAGTACTGTGATGTTCTTCTGTCTCTGAATGACAGTCATTGTCTGACAGGTTGAATTGGTTCCTGGTAGAACAGGCTGCAGGTGTGGCACATCCTAGGAATTGGCAGCCGGTTTGATAGGGATTTTGCTATCTGTGCATAGGCACACTAATCATCTGATACTCTTCACAGCTTGTTCAAAAATAATAAAATGTCCAGACTCTTCCTACCCCTGGCAAAATTGTGAGTCTATCCCACTTCTCAAAAGATCAACATACATGGAGAGCAGCTGACACAAAATAAACCTGATGGGCAAGTACATTGTATTTCCAGTGAGAACGTATATTAAAGTTGAACAGGCTACAAGACCGGCGCCCTCAGCCTCTTCCCCCTATGTTCTGGTGGTTGGAGGCCTGCTGACACCATTAAGTACAAATCAGGGCCCATAGCCAGGGCTGGCCTTAAGCCTTTAGGCGCCCTGTGCGAGAAAGCTTTACAGCGCCCCTCAGTGGCCACACCCTTTAGTGGCCACACCCCCGTAACCACACCCATTTCCCCCAATATCCGCACCTGCATTATTTGTAAAGATGCCAAGGGACAGAACACAAGCTGCAGCACAGGGGAGATGAGGTGAGGGCCCACTGCTGAGGGGTCGGGGATCAGGTAAGTAAAACTGCTTTACCCAATACCCTAGACCTACATGAGCATTTAATGTAGGCAGCCCCCATGTATGGAAAGTTTGGTGGTTTCTCCAGAGATGGGCTTTAGTGAAAAGTGCGTAGTAATTTTTGACAGAGGTAGGCTATATTAGCAACTTCACTTACTCTTTCACACCACTTAACAAGTAGGGATGCACCTTTACCAATACCAGTATCGGTGCCGAGCATTTTCATGAGTACTCGTGAAAATGCCCCGATACTTAAAGTCAATACCGGCCTTTTACATTTTTAAATTACTTACCGTATATACTCGAGTATAAGCCGAGATTTTCAGCCCATTTTTTGGGGTGAAAAGTGCCCCCCTCGGCTTACAAGCACATTTTCAGAAGGTTCAAAACAAACATATTCTGAAAATATCTTTACACCCTTTACGTTATCCATTTGTCTACTACTTTGGCCTCTTTTTCTACAAAAATCCCAATTATTGCCTCATCACAATTATTCACAAGTGTGACTAAACTGCAAGTTTTGGGCTTTGAGGTGGGGTGACAGGTACAGTATCTGTATGACTGTGAGACAAAGCTACTATAGCAAATGTTATTTTATCATCCAGGTGGTGTATACAAAGGCCAGTCACATTTAAGACATCATAGTCTATCACTGCTGGGGATGCTCTGGGTTTCACCCTGTGTATCGGGGGTTTGATGTATGAAAGAAGTATTGATCTCAATGATTCTTTCCGCTGATCTCCATGTCCAGTGCCAGGATAATATCATCACATGCTTAAGCGAAGGGGCCATGTTGAGCCCCTCTCCTCTGTGATGTGCACACCCGAACGTCTTCTGCAGCTGGGACCCCACCACTCCTATCTGCCTCTGCGCTTGTCTCAGCTTCACTGCACAGCTCCAGGTCTGCCAATTGGGTTTCACGTGGACCTGGAAGTGTGCAGTGACATTTTGTGACCTTTCTGTTGTACATTCTCTGGCTCCTTGTATTGATTGTGAATAGCGCCGGACTGGCCAGAGGCAAAACAAAGAGCTTGAATGTGATGAGAACATGGCTCACCACACTGCACCCCCACATGAAAACACTGTGCACAACACTGCTCCCTTACCCCAACCCTGTCCACTTTATGCGTGGTTACAGTAGAGACTTGGAGGTCAGCAGGAGGAACTTCTAAGAGTTGCGGGTGACCCAGAAGATTGACCCTCCTAAAAATTAAATGTTTCCCACAGGACTTCAGAGGACTATTTCTTAGCAAAAGAGCAATGTTCAGCAGTGAGGGTGGCGGGAAAGGCAAGTATGTACATTCTTCTTGAAAGCTATTCTTGAATACCTGTCATATGAAACAGCTGGGGGTGGGGGGGATGAATTTGAGGTAACTTGGACGAGGATTTTTTTTATTTTTAGAGGGGGGAGTTTGATAGTTGCTGGAGGGTAGGGAGAAGCATTTTGCTTTGGGGGAGGGTTGTTTTCTTGCGGGAGGATTTTTGCTTGCATATGGGGAGGTTGCATTTTTGCATGAGGAATGGAGATATTATGCTAGGGGGAAGACATGTAACCAAGCAAAAAATGTGTTCAGTTTCGGATCGATTTGGATCTTTTTTCTTTCATTTTTCAGATTTCGGATCTGAAATTTGATTCAGTTTGTTATTTGGATTTAGTATCCATCCGAATTTTCGTTTAGTTACAGACCGTGTCTGTAATGCAACCCCCAACTTCCAAAAAAAAATCTGATTGGCCAGAGAACAGTCACGTGTCTGGTTTAGTTTCATTTTGAACGAATGTCGGATAGATCTGAATTTTCGTCAAACAAGCATTCTGATTCGTTCACATTTGGACAAATTACAATTCAGAAATTCGGATGCATCCGAATGTAATGAAATTCGTACGAATATCCATTCAGAACAAAACGAAAAACGGGGGGATTTTTTTGTATTGTTAGGGGGTGTTTGTTGTAGTTACTTAAGGAAGGGAAGAGGTTTTTGCTGGGGTACATGGGAGTGCTTACAATGGGGTTTTTGCTTGGGGAGGAGATTTTGATATGGGAGAGGGATTTTTGCTTTTCGGGGTGGGGAATTTTTGCTTGAGGGTAGGGGGTGTTTTGCTGGGTGAGGGATTTTTATTGGGTGAGGGATTTTTTTGGAGCGTAGACATGTGCGATTCCTTTCCTTCCGAATCAAATTTGTATGACATTTTCGAAATTCGGACACAATCCAAATTTCCCTTTTCGAATTTCGGATCCCATCCGAATTTCGTTAAAAAATGAAACTGAATTGGACATGTGACTTTTCTGGCCAATCAGATGTGTTTTTCGGTTTAATGCATCCGAATGGGTCTGAACACAAATTTTCGTTATGGCAACATGGGACCCATTTACAGTATACAGGTGAAACTCAAATAATTAGAATATCGTGTATACTTGAGTATATACGGTATAGGGTCCCGCGCTTGGTGGGACCTCATGGTAGCCTGCTGAGGACCTTGTGGCAGCGGATTACATTACTATTAAGTACTTGATTTCTACATTTACCTGAACCTCACAATGCATTTTTCTGTTTCAATAAACAATATTACACTATATATATTGATTGCATGTAAAATCATCTACTTTTTTTGAGGTTGTGGATTTGGGGTTCTTGGGGTTTTCATGAGCTGTAAGCCATAATCATCACAATTATGACAAATCACGGCTTGAACTATCTTGCCACGCATGTAATAAGTCTATCTCATATATTAGTTTTACGTTTTAAGTTGCATTAGTGAAATAAATGAACTTTGCACGATATTCTAATTATTCGAGTTTCACCTGTATACATATAACACTAAAGCTGAATCTCCTAGACCTGAATGGCATTCTGGATCTGAATTTACGAACTGCATTCAGGAGCTCCCAAATGCCATTGGGGTCTGGGAGCCTCAGCTTTAGTAATATATGTATCTGGCTCACAGACTTAAATGGCATTCAGGAGCTCCCAAATGCAATTGGGAAATTTGGATCCCGAATGCCATTGGGGTCTAGGAGATTCAGCTTTAGTATTAATATATGTATATGGTTTTCTGTGGTATTCTCAACGAATATTCGTAAGCTCATCCGAAACGAATGAATCCCAAAAACCTGAACCGAATTGAATTTGGGATCCTAATCCTGAAATATCCAAACCAAATTTTTCCACAGCTTACATGTCTATTGGAGCGCTTATGCTAATTATAGATTTAACTGCGTGTTAACAGTAATCTCATTAGAATAACATTGATTTCAGTGTGCTGTAAATTAGATTGTTATCAGTGGCTAGTTAAACCTTGTAAAAACAAAAAGATTGAATTGACCATACAGCCATAGCTTAGCCGTTAAAGGCGATATGATAGTGTAAAATATTTTAAAGTCAAGTTAAGTGTAAACTTTCTAGCTATGCTGTAAGTGTGCAGAATATTATCACCAAAAGATTTAGGCTGCACATGAATATCAGATCTTCTTCCTAGTAATTGTAGCTACATCCCGGAGAACAAGATTTGCCGTGGGGAAGAGAGACTTGAGACTGTCTGTTTGGCATGAGTGTAAAAAAACATTCCATAGCGTCTATTCATTCCTGGGTTTTAATTATCCTTACGTAATCAGAGAATGTGTACGGTGTTGTAACAGTACATTCAATACATGTCCCTCCCTCACCTGCTATAGCATTGGATATCTCTTACTAATGGGCCCTCCTTACCATCTTGTCTTGATTCGTATTGTGATTGTAATGTCTTCCTTATATTGTAAAGTGCTGCGCACACTGTTGGCGCTATATAAATCCTGTATAATAATAATAATACCTGGATGTCATTATTATGTACAGGGCTTATGTCCCAGACTCCTGAAATGGCCCTCTGCAGATGGATTAGTGTTTCATACATTTATATCTGGCAGATAGCATGAATAGGGCACAGTGGGGGGAATTTATCAAAAACTGGAGCAGACAGAATCTGGAGCAGTTGCCCATGGCTACCAATCAGCATCTCTCTTCAGTTTGCTCAGGTAAGATTTGAAGATGAGACAGAGAAGCTGATTGGTTGCAGAGCATGTCTGCTCCAGTTTTGATAAATTCCCCCCCCATGGATGCAGCAAATGCTTGGACTTGAGACTCCATGCACATAGGCATCAGATTGGCATCAGATTGGCTTATGACAAGGGTTTGGAAATCCCTTTTATTGAACTTGGCACTATTACAGTTATAAATATGAACTATGTCGGACTGGGGTACCTGTGACCCACCAGAGGAAGTGAACCTTCAAGCGGCAAGTGCAGATTACTGCGGCAAAAAGTGGGTGTAGGTTGCTGTAAAGGGCACGATGAATTAAGAAAGGGGTAACTGCAACAGGCCATATGGAAAAATAGAATCAGTTTAAGAAATTTTTATTT